AAAAAAAAAAAAAAAAAAACCTTTATCAAGGATGTCAATCCTAGAAAAAGAAAAACCGACTTTACTATAGTTATACGAGACAACAAGAAGAACTCTTTTGCCACAAACAATAAGAAAAACATGAGTAGCCTTCTGCGTGCAGTTATTTCTTTCGTGTCCGTCTTTCTGTCATCTCTTATTCCTTTCATACGTTCCTTCTTTCTCTTGTCAAGATGACCTCCATCCGAGCCGCGAACCAGCGAACGGAACTGTAGGAACCGAATCGTTCAGNNACCGAGCCGTGGGAAGGTTCCTATTCAAAGCCCTGTGCTTTAAAATATTTAAGTGTATGGGCTACACCCGAAATCATGCGTTAAAAAGCCCGCTCTCAAGAATCCAGGCCCACAAGCGGTTCAGATAGAGTACAGTAGCGATGAACCTTCGCAGCATACTAAACATGGATACATTATGCACCCACTCATTGCCGCGAGGCCTGGAGCAACAGATCTAACAACAGCTTTCACCACGTAAACTCACCAAGGCCTGCCTGGCTTCGGCCCCTTGCCCAATTACTCACCGACTGACCCTCCTCGAGTATAGGTAAACAAACTAATAATAGTAACACTAATAATGGTGAAGGCAAACTGAGACATCCCCGCCCTGGGGTTGATGTGACTGTAATACGGACACTGATAATGATAATGACAATGATACTATATACCCCCTCCTGCACAATAGGAACCGTGGCCTTCCTGTCTTTTCCCTTTCTATCTAGGTCTCTTTCTGTGTTTCTTGAAATCTTGTGTTATGTCTTTCTTGATTTCTCGGTTTCTTTCTCTTTTTCTCTTTTGGCCGCTCCCCTACTCCACACCAACTTCAAATACGGAAATAAGTCCCCTGGGACCAGACACCAGGAAAAAAAAAAGGCCACAAAAAAAACAAAGAACAAAAATGCCACAAAAATGATGTTTCCCGCTCCCATGCCCTTGTGAAAGAGAAGGCAGATTGCTTCACGTCAACATGCGTGCTGGAAATAGACTCGTTCGAGAAGCCTGAACTCTATGTTTCTGGCAAGGGTCTGATGCAACCGAAGCCGTCCCGCTTCGTCCATGAAGAAGTTTTGTCCGCCACTTTGCCACAGCTGGTCACATTTCCAAAGATGCACCTTCACGCCTGAGTGCTTAGCTCTTGCGCAGGGGTTCTGTGTCTGTGTGAAGGCTGCGTGGAGCAAGCCCCCTTCTGCTATTCAGGCAAGGCCGGGCTGTTGAATACTTCGCTCTGACAAATTCAAGGTTCCACGTGAGGGGGTGATTGCACACACCAGATGACTGCAGCCAGCGACCCCTACCCACACAAAGATGCCTTCTTAGTCTTGTACACCGACGATATCACTGAAGTTTCTTGGTGTTCCGCTGGCTGTCCGAGGAGCCATTACCAACGCGGTTTCCATCGCTGGAGATGCAGAAGGAGGCGTCCGGCATCCTAACCAGAGGCCAAGAACGGAAAAGTCTAGGATCTAATAATTGAGGCTGAATCTTGATTTCTACCACTGTAGCCTGTTTCACATGAAGGTGTGTGGAATGATCTTGGCGGCCAGACTGGCTGGATCGGTGAGCAGAGCACATCTCCCGCTCAACTTTGGCCTGTTGCTACTATCGCCTTAAGCAATTGGTACAGTAGTAGTGCATCTTTGAGATCAGGACCCACGGCAAGGCACATGCAAAACAAATATCTTTGAACTTTAGGCCCTTAGATAGCTTCGGGAATAGCAGCCAGCTCGTATGTAGAAGACAAGCTTCTACTCTGCAAATAACATCATGCTGTTTCATGTGCCCTAAGGTCTGCATGCGAAGATCACGGACTTCAAGCCTAAACCCAGAAAAGGAAAGAGTCTTAGCAGGCAAAGATTCCACGCCAGATGCGTAGAGATGGAGGAGCCCTGCAGCAGGCTCTTCGACGCAAGAAGCTTTGCGTGCTCTCCCGTGGCATTGATTCCCGTGCCATTCATGCTGCCCCTGAGCTGTGCCTGTTCCTGCAGGGCTGATTCCAAAGAGCGCTTCCGCCCACCAAAAGGTCCCTACAATGGCTTCACTTTCAGACAGCTACTGGGAGCGAGCTTCAGAAACTCCACAACTACGCATACGCTCTGCAGTTGCCCCTGAGCCTCGGCAGCTGACCTTGGATGCGCATGAGGAGGACAGAGATCACCAACACATGTGCAGAAAAAACACTTGGCGGAGAAAACGACACTGGACGAAAAGCTCATCTGCGTAGTGGTAGTGGATTGGAACCCAGGCACAGTAAAACCCAAAAAAAATCATTCTAGAAGGCCCAGGTGACAACTGGAGCGAAGCCGCGACGGCGAGCACATGAAGCCACACCATGCTCCGCTAAATGAAATGCGCTGGGCAAGGCAGGCAATATGAAGCTGAGCTGCGAACTGCAGACACGCAGGTGTAGCAGTGTAGCAATCGCATTCAACTGTTGCCTTTTGCAAACGGCAAACATAGCACAGCCCGTCACCAAACTAGCTGACGCAGCCAGACAGCACGGAGAACGGGATAAACCTTTTGATTGGACTCGTGCCAACAATGTAACAACACTGCCAAACACTAGCGAAGACTCTGCAAGCTCCAGTCCCAGGAAACCTTAAGATGCCTCTCGGCTTAAGCCCACAAATAACAATTACAGCAAGAAGATTTTTTAGTCGGACGTGTTGCAACATGAGACTGACTTCAAGGGAGCACCTGCGCAACTCAGTAAACTAAGGAGATCTGAGAAGCCGCAGGTCCACTGCAAATGTCTGCGGCCCTGGCCGTCCATGACGCTATCCAGGATGTCTGCAGCGGTGTCATCAAAGATCTGCAATTTGGCGGGCCAACGAAGCGAGGAGACTGCGAGTTTCACGCCAGTTGAAGTGCTAGTCCCCATGGCATACTGCTCTTAGATCATTTTGTCAAGAGGCAGTGGCGGTCCTGCTGCTGCGTCATGTCAGCGCTGAAGACGGCATCAAAGGTGAAATCCTGCTCAAGGCTTGTAGACTTGAGAGCAGCGCGCACGAAA